GAAATATAATTTTCTAGACTGCAAATATGTTGCTACTCCTTTTGATGCAAGCATACACTTATCTGTTGTAACAAATGAAAAAGAAGTGATTAATCAAAAGGAATATGCTAGATTCTATTTGAGTAATGGCATCATAACTGTAAATTATGTAAGATCTTGTGATAATCTTGCGGATCTGTTAACCAAGGCCTTGGCGAGAGATAGGGTCTGGAATACATCGAGGGGGATGGGTTTGAAGCCTATAAAATCAAAAACCATGTATGAGGATACCCAACCTAGGGACCAGAGATCCTGTAACTAGGTTCAATGGGAAGAACGAATCATATGGTGGTTGTAAAAATGCACTCTTTAATATTTTTGTTATCCATCCCTATGATGTAAGTGCATTTGTCCTGTAATGTTGGAGGGTTGAGTTTTTATACTCTTAATGAAATTCTGTAGCTCTTGTTGATTGGGGTGTGTAAATTACAGGAACATCCTTGACAGATTTCACCTATGTGAGCATGAAAGTGGGGCCGCTTTCTATGAGAACAAGGCTTATTCTCAAATATGCTCATGAAACTGGGATTAGCACAAGGCCGTAATGTGCTGGCTATTAAAGCTCATGTCAACACCTGGACTATTATGTGTGAGCAGTAATACTTTATTTCCCTTAAGCAGTCATAGTTCAAGTCTGAGACCACTACTGACTCTGGAGTAGAGGTTGCTGTTTCACTAATGAAGGTTCAATGCAGAGCACACCTTCATGATGCATACTAGTCTATCTTTGTTTGGTAATCTCTTTTATCCTTGTTGATATTAAAATGAGTGGGGGATTGTTGGACCATTTTAATATCTTATATTTATTTATTGGTTTATCTTTTTCATAAATAGGGTTTTATTATTTTGGTAACCTCTTGGTCATAAATGGAGGTTAAATAGAATTCATGAACCTGTTCAATGGTCATTATTTTGGTGTAACCATTTTCTTGTTTAATGGTCATTATTTTTGGTGTAACTGTAAGGTCCTTATAGCCTATATATATAGTCTACTCTTTTCTATCTATAGAGATCAACTATTTTCTATACAAGAGAGATTACTAGCAAAGAAGGGTGTTTTATTGGTGGAACTTTGGGTTCACCATCTTGTGTAGAGTTGGCCTGAACCATATGACAAGTGGTCGGGCTGTTGTATCCTGGAGGGGACAAGTCATAGTGTTGTGACTACTGCATCGGTATTTGGATTCTTCCTACCGCAGTGGGCTTGATCTCCTTAAAGAAAACGAAATATCCATACCTCAGCCTGATCTATTTGTATCTCATTTTCTTTGCATCATTTATCAATAATATTGTTTAGTTTCTGGTATTTTCTCCAACACTTTGTGCTATTTTAAAATTCTTAGGTTCCTCCAGGGTATTTTGTCCTGTTTTTTTAGTATTGTGTGTTGTCTTTATATCATCTGGAAAAGGACTCCTTTAGTGTTATTCCTGTTTAAGAATTCCATCTCCATTGTTTAAATTATAGTATTATGTGCTGTCTTCGTATATCATCACTGCAAAAGGACCTCTTTTAGAGTATTCATCCTATTTCAGAATTCCATCTTCAGTGTTTAAAATTTAGGAAATTGGTGAGTGCTGCAATTATTTGCTTATCATGTGTTGGCTTGCCATTTGCTTTAATATCCAGTGTCATCTTTTGCTTTTTGCCTTTTGTTTCTAGATTGTGGTGTAAGTAATGAATTTTCATTGGTTCATATATTACTGTTCGTTTTTTTTCTTCACTTATTTATTCTTTCTTATTGTTCTATTTTTGCCGCTGCACATTCATACCAAGGCTGCCTTCTGCCTCTACATTCGTAAAGGAATGAATGATATATTATTTGATAAATAAAGAAAATTTATTAACTAAATAGCATCACGCTGATGCTAACGAATACATATGAGAATATTAACAAAAGCCAAATCCTAAACACGAAGAGCATCAATAAAATCCACAAATGCAAACGAATCTGGGGACATAGTCCCCATCACCCAACCATACAGAATCATCAAAAGCAAGCCTTTATACTAACCACCGAGCCATCCACACCCTGAAAAATGCACTGATCCTGCTCCAACCAAATCATCCACGTCAAACACAAAGGTGCCAAAGTCCATGCCTTCCTACGCCTCTTCCCTACCCAATCCTCTCTCCAACTGTGACGTGCACCCACAACACTCCCTGGCTAGACCCAAACCATACCAAACACAGAAAAAATCAAACACCCATAATTGATATGCCATGGGACAATGAAGAAGCAAATGGGAAATGGACTCGGCACTTCTTAGTTAATGATTTTAGCCGCCTTCTTCCCTAAAACTCCAAATGGATTTTTTTTTTCATTGATGTCCTACTGGTTCAGGCTTGGGTGATCACTGTTTAGCACCATTAGAACTTTAAACCTTTGCTAAACGTAAAAAGAGCTAGCCAGTTGATAATACCTCAATACAAGCAGAAGCTTGCTTGGGAGCAGAAATGGGGTTTTTTTAAAAAGTTGAGGTACGTTTACTTTTAAATCTTTGATGCACTAATATTTACTTTTTTTCCCCAATTCCTTCAATCATGATTAGTGTTATAATCATCATTATTACTACAGACAATTAGACTTTGGTGGCCATTACAAGATTTCTATCTATCTATCCTTATATTATATAAGGAAAAGAAGGTTTTTAACTTATAAGTCTTGTGGGACTCTTAATATCTCAATCTTAATTTTTTAAGTTTTTTATTTTAAAAATAAAATTCAGCATTTATTGACTTCTCTCAAGCTTTTTTAACTTCTCTTATACACACTCTTTTCAACTTCTCCCATACCTATTTAATTATTTTGGAAATAATAATTATCTCTCATTTTCAACTTCTTCCATACCTATTTAATTATTTTAGAAATAATAATTATCCCTTAATTTATGGATTTTAAATGGAAAGATAAATATTTCATAATCTCTCCATTCTAATTTCTCTCATCAATTTTCAAAAGAAAATATTAAAACTTGCCTTCCTTTCCTCTTCCTCAAAAAATCAGATAATATTTTTCATGAGAATTGTGGATATTTATCTATATCTTAAATATTATATTACAACATAACCAAAAATAAATAAATAAATAATTCAGCTATACAAATAGATAAAATTATTAAATATGATTTTTATTTATTTAATTAAAATCTTTCTTTTGACTCTCAATATCTAATTTTAAAATTTAAAAATCTTTAAAGTCTATTTAAACAAATTTAATTTGAAAATATCTCACACTAGGGCTATGCGTGTTAACCCGTAACTCGATTAAACCGACCGGGCCGAACCAAACCGACAAGTCACGGGCGGTTTCTAGGAATGGCAATGGGGCGGGGCAGTGCCGGGGATCACACTCCCCATCCCCGATCCTCGATTGTGAAAATCTTCCCAGCCCCAGTCCCAGTCCCGATCCCTGACGGGGAACCTACCGTCGTCCCCATCCCCGACCCCGAAATATCCCCAAGTCGTTTTTTTCATCATCATCAACAATCATCAACTTAAAAAAAAAAAAATCATTTTCTGGTTCAATCATCAATCATCAACAACAATTCATTTTCTTTCTATATTTCTTAGCAACCAAACACAGAAAAATGTATAAGCCTTCAGATCTGGTTCATTTTCTTTCACCATCTGGTTTAGATCTGATAAATGGAGAAGAAAAATGCCTTAGATTTAGAACTAAAATGAAGAGAGAGAAGATAAGGGGAGAGAGAGAGAGAGAGAGTCGTCTTACCAAACCCCATACTTCTTCACTGGCGACGATGGCAGGGTATGCAGCGGAGCTGCCGCAGCGAACGACGACCGCGACAGTGCGAACGATGAGCGACTGCGGTGAACAAAGAGAAAGGAAGAGAGGAGAGAGAGTGTGGAATGGCAGAGGCGGTGAAAATGGAGGATAGACGGTAAGGGAGAAGAGGCAGCCGTCGTGTGTGAGAGAGAGAGAGAGCAGTAGCAGCACCACCACCACCACCACCACAATGCGTTTGTGTGTGAGTGTGGCAACCAAACCCTAAACACACACATATATATAAACATCGGTATAATGGTAATCTTATATCGGGGACTGAACGGGGCGGGGCCAGGTCCGGGGCTGGGACATGTATCCCCGTCCCCGGTCCGAATATAATCGGGGATTCCTTTTTAAATACCATCCCCGGCCCGTCGGGAGTATTTTTCAGGGAATAACCGCTCAATTCGAGGTCGGGTGGTCGGGTCCTCATCGGGTCGGGTTCAGATTGCCATCCCTAGCGATTTCGAACATAACAACGGTCGGCAATGGTTTTTGCTAGCTTGATCTAGCTGGCTCGCGATCGGTGATGGATTTATAATATTCGAAACCATCAAAACCGATCCGACCGAATATATTAATATAATATATATAGATCTTTAGCTGTAAAGTTTTTATTATTTGGTAGCCATCCATTTACTTGACAATTTATTTATCACTTTGGTGACTGTGTCCACTTACTCTTTGAGAAAACTAAGGCCCTATTTGTTTGGGATTATAGGAAGGGGATTGGGACTATTAATTCCTTGTTTGTTTTGAGAGATAGCATTGGGACTACTAATACCTTAGTATTACTAATACCCTTGGAAGGAGGATTCATAGTGAGGAGGTAGAGATGATATTAGAAAAATAGTGAAGGGATTAGAAATTTTTTATTTTTTTTATTTTTTATATATTGGGAATTTTTTTAAAAATATTAATGTTTAATTTTTGTATTTTTTTTATTTGTTTTATTATTTTATATAAAAATAATTTAATAATTTCTCACTATCAATCCCCTCACTAACAATCCCCTCATTATTAATTCCCTCACTATAAATCTCCTCCACTCTATTTCTGAAAACAAACAGACCATAAAGGCTAAACTTTAAACTATAATTCATATTCCAATTAAAAAATAAATAAATAATAATAATCAATAGAAGAGTCAGACGACTCTCTCTATTCAGTCACGACAAAAAGGCTATCTATTCACATCTCTCAAGACATAGCCTCTCTTCTTTCTCTCTCTTGTCTTTGCGTTTGCACCTTTCTCTCTTTTTAGAAAAGTCACTCTCTTCAGATAATTGTTTAATCTCATCTCATAGATCATGTAGCAAAACCCTTTCGATGTTCGATCTTTCTCTTTCGATGTTGGTAGACAATGGTCGTGAGCTATGATATTTATCATGAGTGGCAGCAGTGGTGTTGATGAACAATGGCGGTGGTGAGTTCACCCCTCTCTCTCTCTCTCTCTCTCACACACACACATACACACACACACACAAATCCGTGTTAGATTTTTGTTTAAATCAATATGTATCTATATGTAATATATCATCGTGTATATATTAATTTGAGATTTGAATTTTTTTTTTTCCTCCAACATCTTTGTTTCACAGATTTTCGAAATCGACCGAACCAAATCATATTGTTTGGTTCAGTCGATTTCGATCAGTAGGTCAATTGAAAATGGATGGGTGATTTCCTAACCTGAAGGTGTCGGTTCGGATGATGGGCCAAGGGTAAATCCGATTCGGGCCGACCCATGCACACCCCTATCTCACATCATCATATTTTAAATAAATGGAACTCACATATTTATCACACATAACTTATATCATAACTTACCTAAATAATAATAATTAAAAACAACTAAAAATCATAGATAAATTAATTTTTTTAAAAAAATAAAAACTCACAACTCCATCTTAAATAAATTTAAAAAAAATAGAACAAATTAATCAATGTAGATAAAGATTTCAAAAAGATGTGACAATATCTAAATTTGAATTATGACTTAATAATATAGTTATCTTTTTTTTTACGTATATCTATTAAAATTTTAAATCACTTAACAGGACAAATTAATTAATTTTCAAATCTTATTTAAAAAATAATATGATTAATCCTAGACTTCGCAGGCACTGGCAAAGGAGCTGACGGACTAGGCGGGACAAGGTTTAAGTTGTTGGGGGTAATATCCTACAACTTCATAAATTTTTTTTTTAATTTTTTTTTTCCCTGTATGATTCTCTTTCTTTGTTGGTTTGGTTTTAGTTTTGGTTTCAGTTTTAGTGAGATTTATGTGTTTGTTTACAAGTTTACATGGTGCAAAAGAATTATTGGTGATGATAGTTGCAATTAAAATATCTATGTCCATTTTGTGCCAAGGATTTTAATCGAATTTTGTTTTTTTTTTAATGAAAATCGTAAAATTGAACTTAAAAAATGAGTATTGAATTTTTTATTTTTTTATTGTCATTTTATTTTATAGAAAATGTGAAAAATTATTGGGAATTCAAGATTGTACTATAAAATTAGATTTTTGTATAACTAGGTAAGTTTAAAACTTTTAAGCTAGTGTTTACAGCATGAGGAATCCCTTGAACATCTATTTTTTGATTGCCTCATTTCACAACGGGTTTGGCGCGGGTCGGTTTTGGGATTAGACTTTGGAGTTGGAAGATCTCTGTCTTTCTTTTCGTGGTTTCAAGGTTGGGTGCAACAAATTCGTGACTCGGAGATTTTAATTCACTCCATTGCCTTATTATGGGCCATTTGGCTGCAACGCAATTCTGTGGAATTTCATAGAGCCGATGTGTCTATTGAACGCACGATTATGACAGCTAATGAATTTTTAACGCTACTCATTTCACCTCAGCACAATGTTTCCTATGAGCTTTCTCACTCTAGTTTTTCTTCTCAACACAAATTGGCTAATCAGGTTATTTTGCAGTATGCTACACCTCCCACTACAGCTGTTTCGCGGATGTGCGTTATTGTGGATGGCTCTTGGCTCTTTGTCGGTGACCATATTGGCTTGGCCTGGGTCTGTTTTGATCCCGATAATCAGCAAGTTTACGAGGAAGTTATTTTAGGACCTCCAATGCTTTCTCCTCAACAAACCGAAGCGACTGCTGTTCTCAAGGCTCTGCGTTGGGCATATCAGTACGGCATCACCAATCTGCTTCTACAAACGGATTGCTTAGTCCTGATCCTGTTATTCCAAAACAATGCTCAAAACCATGATTGGAGTCTCCAATCATTTTGATTGATATATTGTTATTGTAAACTTTTTCATCATGTTGTATTAGAGAAGGTGGAGCGAGATGTGGTTCAAGATGCTCACCATCTCGCCAGCTGCAAGAAACTCTGTTTAGCGTAATATATTTATGTTGCTGGGTTCTGTTCTCAAAAAAAAAAAAAAAAAAGAAATGAAATAGTGACGTGGTGGGGTGCAGGTACAAGTATGCTAAAATTGTGGAGTTAAACGTAATTGCATTGAACTTCAAGAGAGGCTACTAGCGTAATTTACCCAAATGAAATGAAATTAACCCAATGTATTTTAGAATAAACTACTAATAAGTCCAGTTGGACTTAATTCTCATTAAATCTTATTTAAAATAAGTTTTAATAAAATTATCGTTAAAAATAATTTTTTGTGATTATTTTTTGTATATGTTGTTAAAAATTGACAATTTGAAAAATTTTTTATCACGATTTTTATAAATTATTATGTTTTTCTATTACAAATTTTTCACATTATCGTTGAAAGTTGAAAATTATTGACATGTTATTTTTGACATTTTTTTAAAATGTCACTAAAATTTATAATTAGTGATATTTTTATGACAAAAATTTTAAACTATGGATGAAAATTAATAATTAATCATATTTTTTAATAATATTTAACAAAAAAATCATTAATAACCTATCAAAAATGCTTGAGATTTCAAAAATTCTACCAAAAGTTTTATCAAATGTCTCACATGTGTGTAAGACCCACATGAGATCCATATTGTGTGGATCTCACACCCATATAAGACATTTGATAGAACTTTTGATAAAATTTTTAAAATCTATATCATTACTCACAGGGCATGTTTGATTGGGTGGATTAGAATATGAGATTGAGATTATTAATCCGTGGGCTCAATTATCCTATGTTTGTTTTAACATTTTGGTTTAGGATTATTAATCTAATGGATAATTAATTCAACAAATTTGTAGGATTATTAGTAATGGAGTAGGGGTGAGATTATTAATCAAATGGATATTAATTCAATTAGATAGTGAATACCATACTAATTTAATAAAATTATTAATATTTCACCTCTCTCTCTCTCTCTCTCACACACACACATACACACACACACACAAATCCGTGTTAGATTTTTGTTTAAATCAATATGTATCTATATGTAATATATCATCGTGTATATATTAATTTGAGATTTGAATTTTTTTTTTCCTCCAACATCTTTGTTTCACAGATTTTCGAAATCGACCGAACCGACCACCAAATCATATTGTTTGGTTCGGTCGATTTCGATCAGTAGGTCAATCGAAAATGGGTGGGTGATTTCCTAACCTGAAGGTGTTGGTTCGGATGATGGGCCAAGGGTAAATCCGATTCGGGCCGACCCACATTATCATATTTTAAATCAATAAAACTCACATATCTATCGCATATCTAACCCATATCATAACTTACCTAAATAATAATAATTAAAAACAACTAGAAATCATAGATAAATTAATTTTTTTTTCAAAAATAGAAACCCACAACTCCATCTTAAATAAATTAAAAAAAAATAGAACAAATTAATCAATGTAGATAAAGATTTTAAAAAGATATGACAATATCTACATTTGAATTATGACTTAACAATATAATTATCTATTTTTTTATGTATATCTATTAAAATTTTAAATCACTTAACAAGACAAATTAATCAATTTTCAAGTCTTATTTAAAAAATAATATTATTAATCCTAGACTTCGCAGGCACTGGCAAAGGAGCTGACGGACTAGGTAGGATAAGGTTTAAGTTGTTGGGAGTAATATACTACCATTTCATAAATTATGTTTTAAAATTTTTCTTTTCCCTGTGTGTTTCTTTTTCTTTGTTGGTTTGGTTTTAGTTTTGGTTTCAGTTTTAGTGAGATTTATGTGTTTGTTTACAGGTTTACATGGTGCAGAAGAATTATTGGTGATGATGGTTGCAATTAAAATATCTATGCCCATTTTGTGCCAAAGATTTTAATTGAATTTTGTTTTTTTTAATGAAAATCGTAAAATTGAACTTAAAAAATGAGTATTGAATTTTTTATTTTTTTATTGTCATTTTATTTTATTGAAAATGTAAAAATTTATTGGGAATTCAAGATTGTATTATAAAATTAGATTTTTATATAACTAGGTAAGTTTAAAACTTTTAAACTAGTGTTTACACATCTATTTTTTGATTGCCCCATTTCACAACGGGTTTGGCGCATGTCGGTTTTGGGATTAGACTTTGGAGTTGGAAGACCTCTGTCTTTCTTTTCGTGGTTTCAAGGTTGGGTGCAACAAATTCGTGACTCGGAGAGTTAAATTCACTCCATTGCCTTATTATGGACCATTTGGCTGCAACGCAATTCTGTGGAATTTCATAGAGCCGATGTGTCTATTGAACGCACGATTATGACAACTAATGAATTTTTAACGCTACTCATTTCACCTCAACACAATGTTTCCTATAAGCTTTCTCACTCTAGTTTTTCTTCTCAACACAGATTGGCTAATCAGGTTATTTTGCAGCATGCTACACCTCCCACTGTAGCTGTTCCACGGATGCGCGTTATTGTGGATGGCTCTTGGCTCTCTGTCGGTGACCATACTGGCTTGGCCTGGGTCTGTTTTGATCCCGATAATCAGCAAGTTTACAAGGAATTTATTTTAGGACCTCCAATGCTTTCTTCTCAACAAACCGAAGCGGCTGCTGTTCTCAAGGCTCTGCGTTGGGCATATCAGTACAGCATCACCAACCTGCTTCTACAAACGGACTGCTTAGTCCTGATCCTGTTATTCCAAAACAATGCTCAAAACCATGATTGGAGTCTCCAATCCATTTTGACCGATATATTGTTATTGTAAACTTTTTCATCATGTTGTATTAGAGAAGGTGGAGCGAGATGTGGTTCAAGATGCTCACCATCTCGCCACTGCTGTAAGAAACTCTGTTTAGCTTTATATATTTATGTTGCTGGGTTCTGTTCTAAAAAAAAAAAGAAATTTTTTTAAATATCATTGCATTTTTTATTTTTATCCTCTTTTTATCATATTATACCATTACTATTATTTGTTAGTTTGTTAATCATAATTCAATTAATTGAAAATGAAAATTTAGTATAACTTTTCATATATATTAGTTAATTTGTTACCGCTATATTTGTACATAATGCTTTCGTTTGGCATGTCAGGCATATTAGCTATTTTAGCCACACACAAAAAAAAAATAGGCTTTTCAGTCTAATAAGACAAAATATCACATTCAAAGCACAATTATTTCATTTTTTCTCTCAAAAAAATCAGAAAAATCAAAAAGTTAATCTCAAACGAGGCTTTTTAGCCTTAGGCTAAAATAGTCAAAAAGCTAACCCACATCCCAAACGAACCCAATAGCATAACATTTAGGGATAATTTTCAAATATAATTTCTATTTTTTTATGTAATTAAAATAGTCCATCTTAAAATAGTATATAAAGGAGTTAGATGGCTTTTTTTATCCCAAAAAATCCAATCTATTTTTTTTTTTTGTACTTTTTAATTTTTTTAAATTGAAACATTAGTTGTTTATGTCCACCAAACAAAATTGATAAACACATATTCAAAAGTTATACATTTTTTATTTATTTATTATTTTTTTAATAGGTAGGATATTTACAAATAAAAAATGTTTGACACCTCAAAATTTTTTTCCATAATCCGACTTATAATAATGTAGTCATAAGTATCAATTTTTATACAAATATGAGAAGACAATTAATCAAATTATACATTTTAATCAACCACATACTCAAACTTTTACTATTTCAAGATGTTATTTCACTATAATTCCAATTAAGAGAATCTTTAATCCTTTTTTTTTTATCGAATTATAATTTGATGAAAATTTAAAAAGATGAAGCATTGAAAATTATTATTTTTTTCCATCAAAATTGATGAAAAGAAAAAAAAAGGGGGATAAGAATGAAAGTTTTTTTAAATTTCGATAAAAATTTAATGAAAAAGTTAAAATAATTCATATTAAATCAAATTTTTTATTCAAATTTAAAATCAAATTAGATAAAAAAAAATTAAAAGAAAATGATGAAATGCTGGAAATATTCTAAAACCTTCTTATTCTTAAAAACTAGAAATTCGTATGCACATTATATTTATATTGTATTTTTAGTTATGAAATTAAAATCAAAAGAAATGTAACTTAAATTATTTGATTAATAACAAAAATATCATATCAATTATTGTTAAATATCACTTCACTTCACATTTAATAATAAAATTGTATATTTGTCTTAATTATAACTTTTAGATTTGTATATTTTCATAACAAGAAGAGATATATCATAACTTATGTAACCTCGTTTAATTAGGTTTAATTTTTCTTTTTTTTTTATTACAAATAATCAAAATTACACTAAATAGATTTAGGCCAAGTTTGGCAACCCATGAAAAATTCAAAAAGTCAAAAAATTATTCAAAAAATTATTACTATTCACCAAATAAAAATATAAAAATATTAATTTACACAATATTACCATACAATGACGTGACTGGTGGTACCTGTGGTGGCAGTGCACTTTATTGGGCTGTCAATGGGGTAAAAAATATATATATATATATATATATATATCTATTCATTAAATTGGAGAGTAATATTGGGCCAGTGGGAGCCATCACAGATCTCTTTTTGATAATCTGAATTGTGCAATGTATAAAACTCGTCGAGTACTATATGCCTATGAAAAATCACGTTAATCGGATATCGGTAACTATATGATCAAATTAGTTTTGTATAAAAAAATGGACGGTGTTATAGTTAACGGTTGACAAAAAAAACTAACACGATCAGATAGTTATCGATATCCGATCACCATGATTTTCCTAAAGCATATAGTATTTGACGAGTTCTACACATTCAACGGTTCCGATTAGCAAAATGTGACCCATGGTGGGCCCCCAAGGGCTGGACAACAGCCAATTTAAGCCCGAGAAGTAGGCAATAATTTCCTATCTCCTAATCTGCCACTACTCTGCTAGACTGCTGTACGGGTTATCAATAACTTCTCTTATACATTTTTTTATACAATTTTTTAATACACATTTTTTCGTAAAAAGTCAAAAAATTAACCCAAACATTCATATTTTTTTTCTCAACTTTTTAGTTCAAAAAGACAAAAAGTGCACTTATTTAGGACACCCCAAACAACCCCTTATATCTACAGTTTTAATTTTTTTAAACTAATAATTTAAAATGTTATAAACATAAAAATTAACTTATAAATTTCATGTATACAATAAGACAAAATATTAATTTACTTTAACATATTTATAATTTTTTTTTTAATTTATAGCATCCCATTCATAGCACGGATTACCACTAGTTTTAAGAGAATATGAATGCATTGATTGAGAATTGTGAAGCATGTGTACGTGTATGGGTACTGGTACGATATTAGTACGTCGATACGGTAAAATCTTTAAAAAGTAAAATAAAAAAAATATTTATTTTTAATTTGGTGTAATGCAGAAATTAGTTAAATGATTTAGTTTGTTAAGATCTAACCTACAATTCAGAAATGTCAAAAAATAAAGGTATAAATCAAAATTAATTATTATTATGTTAAATAACTTACAAACCATATCTTAATTTTAAAATTATGCTAGAATATTAAAAAAAACAAGACAAATAATGAAGTTGAGTGAACTAATTTTATTTTTTCGACTGAGGTATGGTAAGGATTGTATATTTATTAAGTACATTTGGGTACGAAAAAAATTAAGAAAAAAAAATTTAATACGTGTTTTGCATATTCAAATACATATATAAAAGTATCATACGAAATATCAATACATAGTACGAATACAATATATTTGTCAAAATACACATCCTTCATAGGTTGAGAACATAAGATCTTAAAAGGTGAAAAGAGCCATAACTATTTGTTTTAAGCAAAGTCCAATATAACAACCACAGGAGAATTATATATTATATATATATTGTTCTGTTTCACCAAAGTAGATTATTTCTGGAAAAATGCTTCATATCACTAATTTAGCACCACTAATGCATCACTAATGATGTGGCATCATGTGGGCCCTACCACTGATGTGATAGTTTGGCCTTTGTTTTGTTTTTGTTTTTTTTCTTTGCATTGCCACCTCATTAGTGGTGTTTTTAGAGTTCCAAATTTAGTGCTCTAAATCACCACTCTTATTTCTGTTACACCTAAGTAGATTATTAGAGTCAACGTTAGACAAACTCTACCAAATGGTAGCCTTACAATACATTGGATAATACAACAGCAACATATATCATAGAGGGAAATTAGTCTGATGGCTGGTGGAGTTTTATTTTTTATATATTTTAGTAAGAATTCTGTAAGAATAGAAGTTGAAATTGCCAGTTTCCATGTTGCTTCTGTGTTTGCCCGACTTTCATGACATGTCATGGGTGCAGTGCTTCAATCTGTGTGAAGCTAACGTGGCTTCTAGAGGTGGCTCAACTATTAGGTTTACTTAGACTGTCACCTAAAATTCACAAGAAAATTTTAAGAAAAATTTATCATCGAAGATTCCAATTTTTCGAATGCTTCGTACGATAAGGCCTTATTTTCATATTTAGTCTAAGGGTAAACTATCAATAGATTTTAATAGTTAGACTTAATTATCATAAAATCTTATTAAAAATAAGTCTTCGTAAAATCGTCACTAAAAATAATTTTTTTGTGACCATTTTTTACGTATGTCGCTAAAAATTAGTAATTAGTGACTTTTTGTTTTCATAGTTTTCATAAATTGTCGCTAAAATTTACAATTAGTGACGTTTTTCTATGACAAAATTTTCAAATTGTCACTAAAAGTTGTGAATTAATGACACTTTTTTGTGACGATTTTTTTAAACCGTCGTTAAAACTTATAATTAGTGATATTTTTTGTGACAATTTTTATATTATCGCTAAAAATTAACAATTAGCCTCTGTTTGGCAAGATGGTTTTCAGGCTTTTTTGGCTATTTTAGCCACAAAAAATAAAATAGGCTATTTTAGCCATAACAAACAAAACATCACATCCAACCTATAATCATTACATTCTTCTCTCACAAAAAAAGTCAAAAAAGCCAAAAAGCCCTTCCCAAACCAAGCTTTTTAGCCCAGGCTAAAATAGCCAAAAAAAGCCAAAAAGCCAAAAAATCAACCTACTTCCCAAACCAAGCCTTAGTAACATTTGCTAATAATATTTGATAAAAAAAATATCATTAATTATCATAAGACTAATTAGATAATAATTCCACTTATTAAGAATTTAGGACATATAGTCTGAGGCCTCCAAAAATTTTGGACTGCCACTGGTGGCTTCCATACGGGAGAGTGCTTCTCTATTTCTCTAACTTTCTTCACCTTTTTACTCCTCTCCTCTTATTTAAACCTCTGCATACACAACTGTGTCTTCCCCTTCTCTGCGCTTTTGAACCCTCTCCTTTCCTTTCACTTTAAACCCTCTCTCTCTCTCTCTCTCTCCTCTCTCTCTCTCTCTCGTGTCCGAGTGAGATGGCAAAGGGACCAGGTGATGACGCGTTAGGACCCCTGAAATACCAGGTAGATCAGTACTCGAGCCTTCCTATGCATCACCCACTTCTGCTTCAACAAACACTCGGTCATTACTTCTCAGGCATTACTAACATTGTTCCCTTTGTTTTTTACAGACTTGGGTCTTGAAAGTCTCTATCCATTGTGAAGGCTGCAAGAAAAAGGTCAAGAAAGCTCTTCATAACATTGATGGTCAGTGTTTGTACAACAATTTATATGTGTGTGTGTGTGTGTGTGTGTGTGTTTAGACCTACTTATTTTTGTTATATCTCTCAATCACTGTTTTCTCTTGTGGGTTCTTCGTTATAATATTTTTACTTTATATTTTTGATTCATTTTCAGGTGTGTATACCACAGACATTGATTGTCAGCAACATAAAGTAACAGTAACTGGAAATGTGGATGCGGAGACACTGATCAAGAAGTTGGCGAAAACCGGGAAGCACGCAGAGCTTTGGCCAGAAATTGTTGAAAAAAAAGAGAAAAATCCCGGAAAATCCAAAAACAAGAAAAAAAATGACCCTGAAAGTAGCGAAAAAGTTAGTGATGATGATCAACATAAGAATCTAGAAGAGGAAATTGAAAACCCCAACAAAAATAGTGGTGATGAGTCTCCAGAGGAGGATGAAAAGGGTGGTGAAAATAAGGAGGCCGCTCAGGCTACTGGTGGTGGCAATGGAGGTAAAAAGAAGAAAAAGGACAAAAAGGGTAACAACAATGACGGTGAAAATGGTGGGGATGCACTGGGCGGCACTGAATCTCCTTCACCTACCAATGGTGTGGGCCCACTAATTGGGTCAGTGAATCTCGGCCCTCCATTTCATCCAGTGTACCCCTACCCACCACCCTATTATCCACCTCCAGCTTATGGACTGAGTTACAATACGGCATATCCTAGTACTAGCTCTTCGTATTACGTCCCACCGGTGCTTGCATACACGCAGCCACGCATAGATTATCCACCAGCTCCACCATCTGATTCAATTTATGCGTTCAGCAACAATAATCATGCTGATTATTATTATGATGATGATGATGATGAGAGTGGTTGCTCAATCATGTGACTAAATTGTCATGATATGAGAGGGGTATATGTAAGATTATATTATATATATGTTTCAGTAGTATATGAAGGAAATTGGGGAGTAATTCTGTAGATGGAAAATTTAATGTGAGATTTGATGGAAATAAAAGAGCTGTTTTATGGTTTGTTTTTATTTAGATTTGCTTACCGCTTTGGGTTTACTTAAGCACATGAATGAACTTCTAGTTCTTGATTGTTTTGTAGGACCTAAGTGTCCCTTTTGCTCTCACTCTTATGTGGAAAGGAGTGTTTTGGTTGTGAAATCTGTATTTTTTGCCCTCTCTCTTAAGAAAGTAATGCCAAAGGACTGATTTTAGGAATTGGTTTGTCTTTTTGAAAAAGGGAGCTCTCTGTTTGGTTGAAAACTTCTTTTGTAGATTCCTTTTGCTTTTGATGATAGGGAATGAGTAGGCAACCACCATGTACTGAAAGCTACTTTGTGTGGTTAGTTGCTGCTTTTCTTTGTTCCCAGGTCTCTGTATGAACTAAGAAGGGGGAGCAAGGATCCTCTAGAGTGATTTTTCCCTAAAGTTTCCTAAAGTGCTACAGTGTATGGTTGAGATTTACTGGCAAGTCACATCAATTTTTCTGATGTGACTTGCCAATAAATCTCAACCACACAATATAGCACTCTAGGAAACTTTAGGAAAATTTCACTCTAGAGGATCCTTGGTGAAGAAGGGGGAACCCTTACGTATAAGAGGTTCATTTTGACAGTTGTTTTAGTTGAGATTTTGAAAACATTTTGGCTCCGTTTGATTTAATGAATTATAATTTGAGTATGGAATCGTGATTTTAGTATGAAATTGCGAATTGAGTTTTGAAAACAGAAAATTTTGTTTAATTATAAGTTTTGAAAAGAGTTGTGAAAAAAGTTTTTGAATTTTAAATTTTGAATTTTGAGAAGAGTTCTGAATTTTGAAAAAAGTTTTGAATTATATTTTGAGTTTTGTATTTTTGAATTTTGAGTTGTATTTTGAATTTTTTGGATTTATTTTTTAAAATATTAAAAAATATTTTAAGAAAAATTTATTTCTTTATTTTAAATATAATTTTTATTTAAATATTTTATTTTATTTTGTAAATATTTTAGTTTTTAAAATTTTAATATTTTAAACTCAAAACACAACTCTACGCTCAAATCGTAACCAAACACATAATTCAAAACTCAATTCAAAAATTATTTTTTAAACTTATAACCAAACACATGAAACTCCATACTACTTTCAAAACTCTACACTCAAATCGTAATCAAACACATAACAAAAAAAAACTAAAATATTTAAAAATATATGTATAAAATAAAATATTTAAAATAAAAATTAAAAATTAAAAATTATATATTTAAAATTTAAAAATATACTTTTAATTTTTTTTGAATATTTTAAAAAAATACAACACATAAATGTATGAAAAATAGTGCTGCACATTAAACTAAATAAAAAAATATTTATCCTAAAAAAATAAAATTAAGAAAATTTTTAAATATTTTAAAAAAATAAATCTAAAAAATTTCAAAATACAACTCAAAACTTATAACTCAAAACACGACACTCAAATCATGATTCTAAAAATAATTTTAAAAAATAAAATAAAATAATATTTTTCTGAATTTTTTCTTTTAAAATAGAGTTTTGAAAAGAATTTGATTTTTGAGTTTTGAAAATAATTTTGAATTGAATTTTGAGTTATGTGTTTGGTTACGAGTTTTAAAAAAAATTGAATTGAGTTTTGAATAGTTTTGAGTTGTGTATTTGGTTATAATTTTTTAAAAAAAAAAAATTGAATTTTTTTTATTAAAATTATGATTTCAAAAACAACCAAACATGGCTTTTATGTCTTGAAGTGTGTGTCATCATATATTGCTCCCAAAAGATAGAATGTGGTGGTTGTGATCTAGTTGGGTTGTTACTAGAATTACCAAAATTTCAGTCATGTGCATATTGTTGGGTAGTGTGGATTCTAACTAATGCTTAACACTAATCAACTCGACTGTGAGTTCAACTACATAAACTTATCATTCATTTGAATTTCAGAATAAGGTCGTTTTTAATATTTTACAATTAAGCCTCCTTGTCTTAATACGATATATTTATAGTCGAAATGTATCATCTCTCTCAATATTTCTGAAACATTACGTGATTTTATTCTAAACCAATCACTAATTACTTAACCTTATATTGTCCCTCCATCCTCAATATAAATTGTGGGTCCTTACGCCCTTCCACTGATCAAAACCTTATAGAACATCACGTATCCATACTCCGAGAGTACTGAATAATTACCCCTTAATTGTACTGTAATTGTTTTTAGATTATAATGAAATTGTAGTGATTGTAAACTTAATAGGTGTTTAGCATCTCCTAAAATAGTCAAAAAATCAAAAAAATCACTGAAAAAGCAAAAAATGTAACACTATTCACATGTTTGGGCGGAAAACAAAAAGTTGAATAGATCGAAAATAAAAAGACAGAAATACCCCCTCTAACAGTACACTTTTTGTTGAAAATAAATAAATAAATAAAAACAGTGCAGCACAGTGCCCTAACGCACGGAAAACAATGCAGAATGGAAAGCATGTCAAAAAGTCAAAAGGATAGGAAGGTAATTTTGTTAGTTAATACAATATTTTAATACACATTTTTTTCATAAAAAGTCAAAAAATTATCTCAAATATACATTTTTTTTCTACTTTTTTAATCAAAAAATTAAAAAATATTTATATAGTTCAACTCAAACAACCCCTTAATACTATTCTAAGATAAATCACGTTAATCTGTATTCTCATATACTTGATTTTTAATCCATCAAGTTGTAGCAGTAAAGTTGGAATATCCATGGCATAGGTTGGAAGAAAAGTTGCACCTCCAAAGTACATTTCCATGCATTAAATTAATATTTTAGGAATCGTTTGATAACATTTATATTTTTTATTTTTTATTTATATTTATAAAAATTTAAAAAATTTAAATAAAAATTTGTTTGATAAATTTTTTAATATCTCAAACAAGTCATTTTTTTTTTAACCCTACTTTTTTATAAGTTTAAACTTGCTTTTTTACTCATGTCAAAGAAATGCATTATTTGCATTAATGGACTCCAGGGCAAACTAAAGGGTGGGCACATGGGTATTGTGCTTGGCACGGTGCCAAATAAGGTCATGCAATAGTGATTATTTAGGTGTCGTTTGGTAACATTTATATTTTTTATTTTTTATTTATATTTATAAAAATTTAAAAAATTCAAATAAAAACTTGTTTAATAAAATTTTTGATTTATAAATCAGTTGTCTCAGTTTATAAATTTAGCCAAAAAATGAAAACACAAAAAATATGTTTCCATTTTGAGTTTTCAGTTTTTTTTCTTTTACCACCTAACCCTAGCCACCACCCGCCACCATTTTCCACCACCCCCTTCCACCCCCCCCACCTCGC